AGAAAACAATGGGTATAGCCGTGGGAAAGCCCCTGACACCCCATGACAGCTTTTTGCCCATGAAATACGTCATCCATGCCGAGCATGTACTCGACTATCTACCTTCTAAGCAGGGGCTCAGCCCATGACAGCTTTTTGCCGCCACTATCTGCATTGCTTAGTGCCTGAGATAGACGATGTGCCTGTCTGAGATGGGTACGATTGAGTGTACGATTGAGTGGAGCTCCCCGTGCTTTTTTAAGCCCAGAGGACGTTAATAGGAGCAGCGGGTACGAGTGGATGTATATACGTTTGGTCTCAAGGGACAAGAGTCGTATAGGCACTTTCAATCAGATCCCGCGAGTCGCCATTCCCATTATCGGGTTCAACACCTAGATACTCCCAATCCTGTGGAAGCTCCTCTTCATCAGGACAACGAGCGCGAACTGCAGCCTAGACGATGCAAACGAATCAATGCCCCCGATGCGGTAGATCACCATCTCCATCTGCGGCTCCAATCCGGGGACCTGCTGAATCTTGGCCAGCATCTCGTGGCTCTGCATCTGTTTCAGGAAAATGTTGCAGAAATCGAAGACGACGAGCTTCTGGATGCGAATTTGCACTTTTTGCATCAGACTCGATTTCTTCTTGGAATCTGTCTCGATATCCTCTGGCGTCCATGGTTGCGCTTCGTTTTTGTGTTTGGGGGTCGCGAAATAGTGCGAGGATGTGGTAGTTGTGTTGAATCATGAATTAGGGTTCAGTCCTCCGTCGGATTAGATTTTACCGTGCTGTGATTTTCTTAAGCAGCGCCATTGAATCAAGAACTAGGGTTCTTCACAAGTCCAAGGCGAAGCCTATTGTTTTGGTATTGGGGCTCGCGTGAATGAGGCTTGGCAATTGAAGGCTGTGAAATTCCATCGCCTTTGGCAGAGAAGAAAGGGAAAAAATTATACATTGGTTTGGAAAGGAAGTTTCAAGAACCACAGAGAATTTGTCACGGGGAAGAGGAAAAAAAAGTAATATGTTTGGAGGAGGAAGGTTAAAGAGTTGGAATAACTTTTACAGGGGAAAGCATCATTTTCCAGCTTTTAAGAGCAATAATCATAAACATAATTTTATGTAAGAGATAATAATACTAGATATTAAAAGGGTAATTATAAATTACATAAATTTTTTTATTAAGATTGAACAAATAATGATAAAATATTATCTGTCACAAACATAATCGTCATAAATTTTGTGGGTTTTAGGGACGAAAGTAAATGGTGTCATGAATGGGTATTCTATAGTGACAAAACTAATTTTTGTCATTTTTACATAACAAATTTTGTGACGAAATATCATACAACATAAGAAAAGCGTCATAAATTATGTGAATTTAGTGACAAACATAATCAATGTCATAATATAATAATCTTTGATGACGAAATTAAAATTTGTCATTATTATTAACAAAATTGTGACAAAATATATTTCGTCTTAAATAGAATCGTCATAAAATATGTGATTTATTGACGAAAGTAAGTGATGTCACAAAAAGGATATGCATTATTGACAAAAAATAAAATTTGTCATATTATCTTACAAATTGTGATTAAATATTATCCGTCATAATAGAATTTGTCACAAAATATGTGATTTAATGACGAAAGTAAATAACGTCATCAAATGCTATTTAACGGTGACGAAAATATACTTTGTCATTCTTGTCTGACAAATTGTGACAAAATGTCATTCGTCATTGGCAAAATTGTCACAGAATATTCTATTTCTTGTAGTGACTTACATCTCGACTTGCGATCTTGACACCTTGAGGTCACTCTTCATACCCGAGTTCTAGGAGGTCGTTACCTCCAGGTCACCTTACCAGGTCGAGCAGTACTCTGAGCTGCATCCGCGAGCTCCCCGAATGTCTTGTCCTCTTCTCAACGACCTGGAGCCCCTTTGGACCGGCCTTTCCCGAGCTAGCCACTTAGGTAGGTACACCGAGTTATTTTGGGTGCTACATCACCAGTCACCGTCAGTGTGTGGTCTCGTATGATTAACCCTCGATCTCAAGTTCTTCTGTTGTATTACTTCACCAGGGTTGGGCGTCGTGTGCGTGAAGATCTCCCGAACTCGTGTGGCAGAACTCCCTCTCCTCTTGCTCTCAAACTTGTGCACGTCAGGCACTATATTTATGGGTTAGCGTGTTGTTTAATGATCTCTAGCAAGAGAATGAGTTGACCATATTGTTTATTTATAGGCTACAACAAGGACCTTAAGAAGGTTAGAAATAGCTCTCCCAATGGGCTAATAAGTACCTGGACTGTGGTACACCCTATTTATTAGTTCATTAATAATAAATAATTTTACATGGCTCCACTATCCTCGATTTATCACCTCGTGCCAAAGATACAACGACTGTTAATTAATTTAATTATTAAAACTTTAAATAATTAACTTCTTGATATTTCGAGTCTAGTACGACTCAATTCTTATCTTAATGCCGAAACTAAATCCGCTTGCAGGGCTTGATATAATAAACCTTTTTAGTTCATCCGAGAACGTCATCAACCAGGAGCACATAATTCCCAACTCACCGATTTATTGACAGAATGGAATAAGTCACACGCTTTCATGAATCAAAGAACAATTATTAACCACACGTGCCCAGTATTGTCTAACGGCTTAAGAGTACGAGCGATATTATGAGGACTAGTTTATTTACTTGGTCAATATAAAATAAACTTCTCCTCTAGTGTCCGTTCAATACACAACATGTACTTTTATAATTCACTAGTAATGATAAACTAACTCAAATTATACTATAAAATAAAAAAGAAAAGAAAACTTAAATTATACTATAACCATATCGATAGGTTTGCCCATTGCTATCTCGATTATATTCTTATTTATATTGCTGAAGGAACCGATAACATAATCTATAAGTGAGAGAACGTCACACTATATCATCTTAAATGTGAATAATAGGGTAAAATGCAAATACATCCACAAGGTACAATTGACTAAACATGATTGTTTTATTCAAAACAGAAATGAGTTCAAACGAAACAATGCTTTCAGTATACAAACCATCAATCTACCACTTATACTTAAAACTATTGCGATTGCTTTCTAAGTATCAGTTTATCTATCTAACCTAGTCCTACATAATTATTTTTTTGCTTTAAACAAACATACATTTGATTCTCATTCCTTCTACATTCTTCGTAAGTTTTTGCCGAAAGAGCCTTAGTAAAGGGTCTGCTAGGCTGTCTGCTGATGCAATCTTAGGTATGAAGACTTCTCCTCATCCCACGATCTTTCGTATCAGGTGGTATGTACACTCTACGTGCTTACTTGCCTTGTGGTCTTGTGGTTCTTTCGAGTTCACCACTGCACCTCTGTTATCACAATAAATTGTGACAGACTTGGGCAAACCCAGGATCACATCCAACTCCAACAAGAAGTTCCTGAGCCACACTGTTTCCTTTGCTGCCTCAAATGATGCAACATATTCAACTTCCATGGTGGAGTCAGCCATGCATTTCTACTTGACACTCCAAAAAACTATGGCTCCACTTGTTGGGATCTGTGAGGATCTCGTTATGTACAAGTTACGAATTCAATAGCAAATGTAACCTATGCGCAGTGGATCTAAAGGCTTGACGTAGAAAACTTACAGCTTAAAATTTTCTAAATTTGTCAGATTCGGGATGAAACAACACAGGAACCGAAGTTGGATCACATGAACGGAAGGCGGGGATCGGCCGGTCGTGTGTCGCATCAGCCGGGTCGTGTCACGTGGATCACCGGATCGTGTCGCCTCGATCGGATCGTCGGTGGACCTTCGGCTGGTCAGGCGGCGATCGGCGATTGTCCGACTGGTTGGGGTCGGCGGATCTTGACCTTCGGGTTGAGATTTGTCGACTTTGGTAGATGATCACAGGGTCTCGCTTACCTTCGAGATCTTCTATTATATCACTCTTACACCTTTTCAACTCGTACCGGTCGAGCAACGAGAAGAAGATAAAGCTCGAATGAGATCTAAAGAGAGACGAGAAGGGGGCATCATTTCACGTGTATTGTGAAGAGATGGATGTCTTCTCATGAGCTTAATGATGTATATATAGAGCTACAGTAGGGATACTTAGGAGATTAGGAATAGGGCTTCTTAAGTAATGGACTAACTGTAAGCAGCCCACTCTTCCAATTACTTAAATAATATTACGGTCCACTAACATAATATTATTGCACTCCTTTTTTCTAGCCCAAATTACATTTGATACTCCAATTATAATTACTCGAATTACTTCCCCACGTTAAAGATATAATGTCCATTAATTAATTCGATTACTGACAATCAAGAATTAATTAATATATTATTTATTTCACCGAAGTTAGCGCTCGTTCATCACATTGTTATTATGCCGAAACTTAATCCACCTGCAGGGTTTAGCATAACAATCCTTCATGAACTCACTTCGGGGACATCATCAAACTAACACACATGGTGACTGTAAATATCCTAACAGTATATCATACATACAACAGTAGTACCCAAGACAGTAGGAATATTAATCCAGCGAGCTGAACATCACCCAAGTGAATCAAAGTAATATGTATTGCATATATATGTCTGTTTAATATCTTACGGGTTAAGAGAATGCAGTAACTAACCAAGTCCTAGTTTGTTTACGACGATCAGTATAAAACAAAATTCTCCTCTCTGGGATCCTGTTCTGTAATGCTTCGTTTAATTATGGAATATTTGAGATTCATTTATCATCATTGTTATTATTATAATTATTATTATTAAATGTCTAAATATTATTTATTTGTCAAATTTTAATTAAATGCCTAAATGTCTAAGTGTTATTATTATTATTATTAATATTATTTAAATAAATTGTCTGAATTATATATATATATATATATATAATATTCGTTCTATTTCAATTTAAATTTTCGAGCCGAACCGATTTAATGATATATGACTAGTCGAGCTCGAGAGAACCCGCGATCCCAACCCGGTCCACCCGTGCAAGTGTGTGTGTGTATGTCTTGATTGGAAAGACAAAAACCCTAAATCTTGTATATATCTCGCTCGATCAACTCATCCCGCAGCCTTCTCTCGTTCAGAACAGAGAAAGAGCAAATCTGCTTCTTAATTCTCTCGACAGAAGAAACACCCGCAGTCATCTCTCTCGTCTTCTCTCTTGTCCCGCAGCCCTCATCTTTTCCCCTACGCAAATTTCCGATCACCATCCTTCAATCCCGTCGCCATCTTCTTCAAATCTCGTCGCCGCGCCTATTTTCCCGATCGCCATCACCATCGTCGCAAGCGCTCCTCCGCCAGTGCAGCAACCCCGACGCCGCAACCAATCCATCTCCGGCGATCTCCCTGCGTCGCGAACCTGCCACGCTCCACCGCGACGTGAACAACAACGCCGCAACCTCCGATGAGCGACCACCACTGGAACCTCCAACGAGCGACCACCGCTGCTCCTCCTCACTCGTGGCCACAGCCGAGTCCTAGTCGCAGCATCTTCGGCGACCCTCCTCCCATCGCGAGTCGCCGACAGGTCTTCCCTGAACGTCAACCACCCGCCTCTGTTTTGCTGCCCTTCTCAACTCACGGCATTAAGCAGTTCCGGCGACCCTTTTCTTCGCGAGAGCCGTCTTCAGTGCCGATGACCCCTCTCCGTGAGCAGACTACAACGGCGACCGTCACCCCCTTTCGTTGCTCGTTCGCCGTGCATTTGCTATCCCTCACGATCGTCGATAGACGCGTCCTACCACCACGAACAACCCTCGCTGCTCCGCCTCGTCTAGCGTCTCAGGCCCCCACGAGCAGCGACCCAATATTCATGCGTCCCGTTCGCGCCGCGAACCAGTAGGCCTCCTGAGCCTAGTGACCGGCGGTCCTCCTTTCATTGCCGTAGCAACCCGCCATCACACGCGAACTGGTTGCCGCTCGTCACCTCAGGCCCGAGAGACGAGCATTCGCCGTCGAGCCCGAACGCCTCACGCGACAC